TCCAAAGCTGCTAAAGACTGTAATAGTGGTGCTTATTGCAGATTGTTCTGCTTCTTATCTTTGATGCAGGTTTGATATTCTTTCACCAGGTGAGATGCAAAGGCTGTCTTTTGCTCGCTTGTTCTACTTACAACCCCAGTATGCAGGTAAGAAAGTGGAAGATAATAGGGTTAATTCTCTTGTTTAAGGATATGGGAAGGCATTGGGAGAAAGTGGTTTGTGACATGTTAGAAACTTAAGAAATTATGATTACATTGTTTTGGGGATCACAATCCACCATTTAGTTCCTCTCGCTATAACAACAATTTTCTCATAGGACCATATGCCTGGTGAAGTGCCAGGTTGGGAAAAGTTGAACTAGCTTAGCTTAGAGGCTGCAAAAATCCAAAATGGCCACAGATGGCAGCAAACTTCATAGTGCTATTTAATGGGCATTGCAGATTTTTTACAACTCAGTTCTGGTAGCACTTAACCAGCTACATTGTTGGATATGAGCCTAGACATTCTATTTTGGCTGATGTACTGTACATTTCAGTATGCATTATCTTTAATCTGGAATGCTGTTAGAAAAACACTTGGAGATGTTTCAACATTAGCCCGTGATGACAACTGTATAGTTTAAAATGCCACTTCATTATTGTTGAGGGTTATAGAATGAGTTTGGCATACTGTGCCTCTCCCAATGTTTTACTACAAATATCACTAACTCTAATTATAAGCCATGCTGTCTAGGATTGAGGAGAATTGGAACTGAATATTATTTACTTACCTAATTTCAAGGCTTCCCAATCCATGACAATATAAAGCAGATAAAAAGAAAAACAATACATATAAAAAGAACAAAAAAAACCCACACAAACAAAACAGCCATAATAAATGTAACTAAACTAGGCTTTACAACCATCCTGTTCTGAGATCTCCGAGAACAACTTGGTTTTTAGTAGCTTCCTGAATATCATAAGGATGGGAGCCACATAGGTCTCTGGGGGGGAGCTCCTTCCATAAGGCAGGTACCGCAACAGAGTAGCTGTGTTTCCTAAGTCCTGTAAGATGACACCATTGCATACCTGAAACATATCTGCCCTGCTTGATTATATTAGATAGAAAATGGCTGCATAAAATACTTATTGTCCTGTGCCTATGATCTACTTACCTTAATATGCATTTTTATCAAGCTTAAATTGAGAACTCTCCATAGTCCCATTCAATGTATAAATGTTTAGGTTGGATGTCTTAAATGGTATGTATGTATTTTAGTGTATTTATAAGCTACCCCAATCATCTAGGATTCTGTGCATTGAACCATCCATCTGGTACATACAATTAAAATCCTAATATAAAGTCCAAACAACTAAAAATTAAATATGTAAGAGGCAGTAGAACAAACTAGGGGCTGAATGCTGACTTCAGTGATGAATTCTAGCTTCTTAAACACAGCATGGGAGGGGGCATTCTCACTTCCAGAGACAAGGCATTCCAAAGATAGAGGCCACCATTATTGTCTGTCTCATGCCTCGTGGTCCATGCAGAGTGAGGTGACTCTCTACAGGCTCTCTTTAGGTGTTTGTACCATCTTGGCTGGGCATTGTCTGATATAATCCAGTGCAGCAGTAGGCGGGCTTTAAAAGAGATGATTAGCATCCTCTGTTGGTCCCAAAAGGCAACCAGTTGGCAATGCAATGAATCAGGATAGGTTGTGTAGTGCTGTTCTGGTGGTGTTGTCCCATTAGCAGCTTTGCTCCCATATTTTGAACCAGCTGTAGTTGTCTCCAAAGGCAGCCCCACATAAAGCACATTACAAATACTTGAATGGTGATCAGGGCATGCTAAAATTAGAAAAGTAACCAGGTAACATTTGCCAGGTTTTACTCAGCAACAGAAGGAAAAGAAAAAGGTTGGAAATTATAGTCGTGCCATATTGAAGGGCTCCCATTTAAACTTGCAGTGCTAGATGAAGCTACGAGTGCATTGACAGAAGATGTAGAGAATGAGATGTATAGAATCTGCATCCAACTGGGAATGACTCTGGTCAGTGTCGGACATCGTAAAAGTCTGGAAAAGGTAAGAGTGATAAGTACAAGGAGATAAGGGGAAATTATTTTTTAAAGTCATAATTCTCAGATTGTGTTTACTATTTAATTTCAGTTCCATAGCTGGATTTTGAAACTGTATGGAGAAGGAAAATGGGAGCTAACAAGAATTGAGAAAGCCTGAACTATTCCCAAACCAATCAAAGAAAATATTGGAGTTAAAGCCTCGAGTTAAAGTGCCTTGGAATCAGCATGCTTTCATGGAGAAAGTATGGCTTGAAATTTCAAAATTACAAGTGCCAAGAAGTTTCCAATTAAGAAAAAAACATGGGGAGGAAAGTTTTTAACCATTTCTTATCTTATAAATTTGCTTTCAATCCATTGTTTTGATTGCTGTACAACCTTTCATCCAGAAAGGAAAGAATAATTTTGCTTCATTTATGGAATTCATTTTTAAGTGTGACTGGCATTAAAGTTCTGCATAAGTGGAATTATGTTGGCCTATCTACATAAGGACAGTGAATGTAGCACAGCGTCTTTGGCTGTAAAATAACAATGAGTTTTGTAAAATGTCAGCACCACTCGGTAAAAAAAATAACCACTCTTGACATGTTGTGAAGTACAAAATATAGCTTTGCAGAGGGTCAGGATGGGGAGGGAGTTTTTTCAGTGATTCTACTGCTTCCTCAAAGGGTCATTCCAGTCTGTGAAATGGAGATGTCAGTGGCCTCTGATGTGTGAGATGCCACAAGGGTTACTCCTCTCTTTCCTGCTCATTGCCTATATGAAGCTTCTAGGAAAAGCCACCTGACATTGGGGGGGGGGGGTTTTCAGTATTAACAGTATGCTAATAATAGTCAGTTGTATCCCATTACTAGCCAGGCTTTGAGGGGTTGCTATCAATGTCTTTTCCCAAGACCTGGATGGCAGAGAAAAGACTGAAAGTGAAACTTAGTAAGTTGGAGTGTTGGATACTCAGAGTTCTCTGTTGCCACAAGATATCAGCGTGGTTTCTGATGAGCAAATACCCAGCTATCTGCAGGACCACATCCTCCAATCAGTCCTGGTCTGACCAATCAGAGCAAACACAAAGTATCACTCACCCTACATTTTCAAGAGGCTGAAGGGCCCGAAGCAAGGAGACAGCTTGCTGGTACAGATCAGGCCAACCCCCCCTCCTTGTTGATGTTTCAGAAGCTACTAAAGATGAAATTATTTTGGAAAGACTTCCCCTAATTTTACTCTGCCACCTTTACCTTGTTTTATTGTTTGTACTATTATATTTGATGAGTGGCTTTTTTATTACTGTTTTTTGTACTGCAGAAGTTTTACTTGGTTTTTATAGCCTATGTAAGCCAGCAAGCATCTTTGGCTTGTGGCAAGATAGAGATGTGAAAAATAAATAAATGCCTCTATCCATCTATTAAACTGTGGCAGTGTTTTTCAACTACATGTTTAGCTTACAAGCAGGGGCAGAATTACAACCTTCAGAACTGTTAAAAAATGCAAAATGATCAAGGTTGCTATAAGTATGGAAAGCATCCCTCCGTTCATTCCTGCAGACAGCTCTTACCAAAATGGCCAAAGGTGGCTTTTCAAGACAGATGGATACACATTTCTCCTAGGTAGGAGGTAGCTGAGGAAGTGTGGGGTTATGTGTATTCTTTTAATTTGTTAGATTCTTTTGACCATTTTTAAAAGAATGTGCTCTATTTGTTTTTATTAGAATTTAAAAGGAAGAGAAAGACAAACAACAGTTGAAAAAAAATTGTTATATTGCTTTAAAATCCAGAATGAAGCTATTATGACATCAGATGGGCAGGAGGAAGAAATATGTTACTTATCTTTTACATTTTGTGTTACGTTCTTTAAATTATACATCCTCCTTTTTCTTTTGAAAAGCTCCCCCAAATCTTCTAATGAAATCCAAAGCATTCTTGTATTCTCTAAAGTTCAATATTATGTAAAGATCCTCTATAAATGTATTTAAACATAGCAATTTTTCCTTAAAGTTTGAGGTTTTCCTCCCAGCAGACTTTAGTTGCTCAGAGATAGAGTCTTAATTTTCTAATACATAAACCTTGGAGCAAATGGTGAATCATCCAGGAGTGGTTTGGATAAGTAGTGAATGTGGTGAATGTGGTGTAGAATATTAAACAGCATATTCTTCAGCTATTACTTAAGAGTTATATTCTTCCCATTTATTAAGATAAGTTTTTGTCAGTAATGAATAAGCTTCCCTTTTGGTTCTGCAAGGGATTTTAGGAGTACAAAGACTGCTGTTGGCACAGTACTCTTCTCATTGTTGCTTCTTGAGAGCCAAGATATTTGAGCTACTGGTCCTGGTCTTTCTGCAGAAGTTTCTTGTGTCCCTCAATTATGTCTTTCACTGTGTCATGATCATCCAGAGTTGTCAGATCTCCAAGTTCATCTGCTTTGTTTTCTACAATCTTCTTCAGAACCCTCCGCATAATTTTTCCCGAACGAGTCTTAGGCAGGTGCCGAGCTACCTGAACCCCAAAAAAATGAAAGGAAAGATTACAGCTCCATCGGGAAATTCATCCCATAAATATTAATTCGAGAAAAGGTGTACTGCAAATCTTACAAAATCTCACTTCTGTACTTATTTTCTTTCCCGTGGAAGTAGATAGTCGAGCATGTCTTTTTCATTGCATATGCAAATGTAGGAGGCTCCGTTCAATTCTCCTTCTTACCAAGTTACCGGCATATAATGGTAACAAAGAAAAAGCTGTTTTGAGGCTATGATGCTCTTTCTTTGGTGCCTTTTAGCACTTCAGAATTGGTTGCCAAAAAAAGTAAAATCGGTATCTCAATTAAATTGATGACTTGCTCAGTAAACTTTCCAATAAAAGAAGGCCAAACATGGATTTGTGTAAGGGTCTCCTCTGACATAGTAATCTTCAGTGGGAAGGTTTATGGAATGAGCAAACCAAACACTCACAAGGAGTTGGGAAAACTCAGGGGCTTGAGATGACATAAAAGTTAAGATCTGGAGAAAATTTTAGTTAAAGGTTATAAAATCTATAGAATTAGTTTGCCTAATCATAGGTCGTTGAATGAGCTATAATTGGCTGGAAACACGCTACACACTAAGCCATAAACTCTGGCTAGGTTCACACAGTACATAAACCACAATCAAAGCAACTAAAGAATGGATTGGCATGTATGTACCTGGTAATAATGATTTTTAACTTGCAAACTAAGTAATGCCAGAAAAAAGTAGAAAAGTTAATGTTTATTTAAATACATTTGTTGAAAGATTATTTGATTCCTGTTGCAATAGCATTTATGTGTTTGTAAAAGATCTTTAGTAACGTACTCATTTCATAGCTAATTAGTTCATTTAATCTGTAGAAACCAGGCTAGAATAGGCAGAACACTATAAGATTTCTATCCCTGCTCTAATGCTTTTGAAGTGCTTTAGATACTTATTAAATTAACCAGATTTTTCTTTTTAAAAAAAGTTATATGCTTGATACTTAAGGTAACTTTCATACTTAATTTTTTAGATTTAATAATGAAGCCACCGTCTTGTTTGGCTAATCGATGGAAAGCAAATCATACAAATAAGCAAATCTAAAATATTCAGAGCAATGATCAGTGATAGCAGAAGAATTAGATTACACTGGACTTTTTAAATTATTAAATATGTCTTTGTAACAAATTGCATTGGTTATCCAACTGCTTTGAATTTTCTTGCAACGTTAGGCCAGTCACACTCTTTCAGCCCAACCCACCTCGTAGAGTTGTGGGGAAAATAGGAGGAGGAGGGTGCATTGGATATGTTTGCCACCTTGAGTTATTTGTAAAAATACTAAAGGTTCCGGATCTAACTAAATAAAAAAAATATGTTCTACTTTCTGTCAGACTACAAATATTCATTGTTAGGCAGAATGAAGATGTGCGTTAGGGAAAAAAAGCTTGCCTGTTGTTACCTGAATATGGTCTGGTGCTGCATATTTTGCTATCTCTTTTGAAACAAGGCTTCCAAGTTCAGAGGTCAGGTTTTCTTGGGACAGTTTAAAGCCTTTTTTCAGCACAATGAATGCATAGGCACCTGTTTAAAAAAAAGAGAAGAGCAAAATAAACAATCATCAAAACTAGACTTTCATACTAAAATAGTCCCTTTAGCTTGTAAGAAGCTGAATCCCCCTATCTATTGGCTCAGATTGAATAGGAAGTAAGAGCTTTTATTAATTTTACTTTTGAGTTGCTGATTAACTCTTGAAACAATGCCCCACTCAAACAAATTCTAGAATAAGTCTATTGGAGGATTTATGGTTATTGGCCTGTGAGGTAAGACTCAGGGTATGCAACTTCATGCTTTTGCATTCTTCTTCCCTTTCTTACTATAAATTTTACTGCAGTTGAATTCCATATCTCTTCTCAGCCAAGACTTGAGAAGTTGATCTTCACTTCAGTCATTAAATTACCACATGGAGTCTCTGAATAGAGCCGATCGCAAGCATGCAATAAACAAGCATCATGCAAACAAATTCTGTGGGATATTCATTCCATATGCTAGTTAAGGCAGAGTCTAATAGAGGAATAGCGGTCATTAGCAGCCAAATTGACTCACCCACCTTCGCCTTTGATTTTATGAGGATATCCAATCACAGCTGACTCTGCCACTGCCTCATGTTTATTCTGGAACATAAACAGGTCTATAATTTACTGCAAGGATCCTGACAGGCTGGCGGAAACATGTGGTTCACTAAGCCTGGTGTGGTCAAAACAAAAGGAATAGAATAGCAAGGCAAGGCTCTGAGGTACCAGGCCTTCTTCCCAGTGCAGGTTAAGTGATTATGTGATAAAATACCTCCCTTACATGAAGAAATACCTCTAATGAGACTTTGAGCTGTAGAACAAAATAGAGTAAGCATCCACTTCAAGGGCAATCTGAGTCAGAAAGAGTATTCTGCAGGAGATGCTTTAAAGCAGTAAATATCTCCAGTGCAGAATGTATCACACAATGTAATGTTATTGGCAAATTAATGTCAGGAGGATTGGAGAAAGCATTGATGTGTGTTACTTGATTAACTTTTGTGGTGGCTTTTTTGAATAACTCAGGAATTTTATATACGTGTACAGATATGTACACCTCTACTTTTCATTGTAGTAGGCTACTGGAGATTCACTGAGAAAATTTCACTACATTTTTAAATTCCGGTATCTCCTTAAATATATTATTTTCTGTATCATTCATTATTCTTATCATTTTTAAAGCCCTGTATATTTTGGATAACAATATTAATAACAATATTATTAACAATATTATGAAAATTACAATACTGAGAGTAGAAACCACATACGTGCAGTTATGATCTACAGTTTTAGTTTCCAAAAGGAAAATGAGGAAGGCATTTGTTTATAATTTTCTGGCAATCAAATTTTTTTTTCATATTTTGTTGTTTCCCACCAATCCCAAGTCGGTGTGGAAGGAGCAATAAAACATGCAGAAGTCTGGAAAGCCACAAGCAATTCAGCTAGAGGGCCAGCTCAAACAGCAACAGCTGCCCATATCATTATATCTTGGTATGTTCTTAGGTGACTACTAAGATGTTGTAA